CCTGCAGAATCGTCTGTACAACATTAGATGAAGTGCAAGTAATGGTAGGTACAAGCTCGTGAGCAAAAGCTTTTGTCTCCAGAGATGTATTGATATAAACAACATGCAATGAAGGAGGAGAAAGAGAAGCAGCTTTGAGATAATTCAAGTAAGCAGGAGCAGAAGCAGCATCAGCTAGTGAACAACCAATGGTCTCATCTGACATCCTATATACACCAACCTACAAACCGAGAAATATGTAAGGAGCACTATCACAAAACAAAAATCAGAGATAAAAAAACTTCTCTAACCTCTCCAAACCCAGCTTGATCTAGGATGGCACGGACATTCTCGGACATAAAATCAACACCAAGAACTGTTATGAACTGACATCCAGCTTTTGCCATGTTGACAGCTGCATCCGCCATGATAAGAGAATCAGATATAGAGATATGTGGCCAATGCTTTTGAGCAGCAGTCAAGACCCCTTGCACTTCTGGATCCATATAGAAATGAGCAGACACTCCTATCTTCTTTTCTTTCAGCACACTGACAAGTTCTTGAACCCGTGACTCCTCCGGAAACAAATATTTCGCCTGCAAGTGAAAAACAGAAACCAAACAACAAATCTAATTAACAGTGATGCAAAGTATAGCCTCGCAAAAGATTTGAAGTCAGAGAGGAAGTAAATAAGCAGAACATCTATAACGCTATAACTTAACTTAACCAAATCATTCACGCACGGTAATGATTGGATTGAACAATCGTAACATCTAGACAAGATTGCAAAAACTCAACTAGATACATTCAGACATCTTCCGATTTGTTCATCCTCATACTCCAATACTTAAAAATACAATCACAAACCTGAATTGAAAGTGAGAATTAAAGAAAGAAGATTCTGACCTGAGCTTCAGCGAAGCTTCCTTTAGCCTCAATGCCATCAGCAGTTAACACGAGTGAAGGAAATCGCTCAAAGGACGGAGCTTTACCATCCCTCTCCGCAACGAACCGTCGGGTCTTCTTCTGCATACTGACAAGAACATTGTGCCATGTATTCACCCTCGATCTCTCCCCTCTCAGCAATCCAACGTTAAGCTCAGCCAAATCCTCAGTCTTGAGTTCCATCACTTGTTCAGGCGTAGCTGCGTCGAGCACTTGAATCAGGCACGAACACATCCCCTTGGAGACATCTGAGTCACTATCAGCCCAGAACCGCATCTTCCCGTCTTGACCTAGCTCAGCGTCTAGCCAGACACGAGCCGTGCAGCCCATGACTCGATTCGCTTCGGTCCGGGATGAGTCGGGCATCGGAGGAATGAGACTCGCGTGACGAAGAACCCATTTGAGCCGATCGACTGGCTCCGTCAAGGACTGAAATTCTTCGACTAACCTCTGGAGCCTATGAGGCACCAGCTCCGTGGTCTGTGAAGACGAGGAAGATGCAATAGCAGAGACGGAGAATGGAGAGGCATTGAGGTCTCGTGAGGGCGATTGGAGACATTCAAAGGATCTAAGGAGAGGATTAATCCTCGGGGACACGAAATTCAGATGGGTGGTCCTGAAATTAGGAGTAGGGCTAGGTTTCCGAGAGGG